GCATGTGTGTGCTTTCTTATTAACATGTCAGGCTGTTTGGTGGTCTCCTGGGGCTGCTTATGAGAACAGCTCATGTTTTATTCTCTAGCTGGTCATGTAGCTGTGACAGGAGACTCTCTAGGCAGATCCTTGTCACTTTGGCAGTAACAAAGGTGGTGCTATCCGGAGGGGAGTGGGCCTGAAGGCAGGACTCCTCCATGAGCACAGCTTGTGAGTAGGGAGAACATGAAAGCCACGTGTCACTGGAGAGAGTGAAAGCAATGCGCACGCGTGCTTGTTCTGCAGAGCGCAGCTGCCAGTACCCTCCACTCTGGTGCTGTGCCAGGCCAGGAGCCACTGGCATGCACCGCGGCCCTGGGTGCATAGGACCACAGGAATATAGGGCTAGAAGGGACCTCGCCGGGTCATTTAGTCGAGCCCCTACTCAAACCTAACTAAACCATCCCAGCCAAAGGTCTGTCCAGCCTGCTCTTGAAAACTTCCAAGGACGGAGATTGCACCACTTCTCGAGGCAGCCCACTCTAATGCTTGACCATCCTCAGGGTCAGAAAGTTCCTCTTCATCTCCCATCTGCTTTCTCTGCTGCAGCTCGAGTCCATTGCTCCCAGTCCTGCCCCCTACGGCCACAGAGAAAAGCCCATCTCCGTTCTCCCTGTAATCACCCTTCAGGTATTTGAAGACCATAATCACCCCCTGCCAACTCAGTCTTCTGTTCTACAAACTAAGTAACCCTAGATCTTTCAGCCTTTCATTGTAAGTCTTTTCTCCCAGGCCCCTAATCATCATTTTCATTGCTGTGCTGGACTCTTTCCATTCTGTGCACACCCATCTTGAAGCTCAGGCCCCAAAACCAGACCCAGGACTCCAGGGGAGCACCTGCATCCCCAGCTCAGTGTCTGTCCTGTATTGAGCTGTGAAGACTAGGCAAAGTGAGAGCATGCGTGTCATGTGCTCTCACAAGAGTGCAGGTGATCGCACTCAGGAGGCAGGTAGCTCCATCCTTGTCACTTATACAGGGGTAGGCTTCTGATATCCCCTTTGGCGTCCCTTATTGCAAGAACCGGCTCCCTGCTGCTCCCTTTGGAAAGGGAAAGGAGCAGCAATAAGCCCAGGCTCTCTGGGACCCATTGCACAAGGAGGGAGCATCCCACCTGTGCCTCCTCTCCCTGGCCGGCTGCCTGCACAGTGCTGCCTGTGCCCAGAGCCTGTTCTACAGCCGGTCACATCCGCTGCTCAGTAACATGGAGGATCTTGCCGCAAACAGCTGAGTTTTATTAATACCTTGCAAATGGTGTTTGTGCAGCAACAGGTGAATAGGCTCTTAATTAAAAGGCTTTTCCCTCGCAGTCCCTCTGATCAGTATGTGCAGCACAAGGCAAGGCTGGGGCAGAACATCTGCCTGCAGGCAGCAGGAGGCAGCTTTCGAGTTCGCTCTGCTTTCCCAAGCAGATGTCATGAGATCCGGACCTGGCACTGGCTCCGGGGGGGGAAGGCAGCGTGGTGACAGATGAATCCAAGCAGCTGTGCGCTGCTCTGGTATTTTGAGTGCACAGGCAGAGCTGACCTGGGATATTTCAAGGGCTGGCACCGGGGTTAGTAGATCTGTTGTACGCCACTGCAGGTAGAAGTGAGGCAAGGGCAGGCCCCCAAAGGAAACCACTGCTGGAGAAACCCACGTGCAGTCTGGACGCAGCATTATAAATGCAAAGGATGGTCCTGCACAGGAAAGGTGGTATCCATTAATACAGGCAGTGTCAAGTGCTGCAACATTTAAGACCGGTTAGACAGGTTTTCTTCCTCAAGAGCATAAACCTTTAAGCAAGGCTTTAGGCTAAATGCTCTAATCCCCAGGTCCTTTCCATCTCATACAGATGCCGCCCCCAAGAAGCTCGCGAGTAAGATGGAAAGAAGGAAAAAAAGCATGTGAGGAGTAAAACAGCTAGAGAGGGGAAAGCCAAGGACATTTCCCTCCACCCTCCCCTGAAAGCCTTATAGTGCTAGGTCGATGGTAGTCAAATGTGCCTGGCTTTTTCCTTGTGGGCCTCTCTCTTAAGTACTGGGTCAGACCATGGGTCCGTCTTGCCCAGTCTTCTGCATCGCATGGGGCAGAGAGCGGATGCTGAACGGGAGAGTGAATAGGGCATGACCAGAGTTTTTCCCCTTGTTCCTCTCTCACTTGCAGCCTCCAGCATTTAAAGGTCTAGGAAGTTCTGACATCAAGGTTTTATCCCTAACTCCCACATTCAAAAGCTCTCCTTACCAAACCTGCCCAGCACACTCATCCCCCATCTCTCTTCCCCAGGACAAGACCCTCTACCACCCAGTGAGCAGCAGCTGCATGGACTGCAGCGAGAGCGACCGCAAGATCTTCATGAATGCCTGCAACCCCTCCTCTCCCACCCAGCAATGGCTCTTTGAACACGTGAACTCAACAGTCCTGGAAAAATTTAACCGGAACCTCGACCTTTAAAGACTGCAGATCTCTCATGCTCTTGCGCTCTTTCTCTATTTTACAGCTCTACATTTTTACTGGGGAGGGTGACAGAAAAAATTTTTAAAGAGTCATTTTTTTTTAAAAAAACAATAGGTAATTAAGGTAAAAGGGAGAATCTCAGGAGGGGGCATGGCGGGCAGGCCAGGCTTTATTTTGAAGATGCTGCATCCTCTTGCGGGGACGGTGAGATTGCAGGCGACTTGGCCAGAGTCGTTTCTGGGGCCAAGGTGGGAGCTGGAGCTCTGGATTTGGAGGGCTCTGAGTGCGGATGGGGTCCTTCCTTCCCCGGCCACGAGCGATCGCTGTGCCCTGCACACAGTTCAGTGCTGCCCTCCCCATCTGCCACCATGGTTCCAGGTAGACACTTTACCTCTAGGCATCCCTTGCACTCGAGCATACGGCCCAGGGCCCGTGTAATGGAGACCTTGGCACATGGACACGGGCTTCCAGTGCAGCAGAACAGAGAACAACCTGGCATGGAGCATGTCTTCTGTGCCCCCCCAGTTTAAAATACACCCAGGGCAGCTCGGGCCTCCTCAGCATCTTCCAGAGGAAGACGTGAGTACAAGGGATGTATTGCATGGGGCAGCAGGGCCAGGTGTTGAAACACATTTCTGTAAATGGCGGGCAGCAGTGGGAAACATCCATGCATCTTGCTGTCTGCCTCCCACTGCTGGACCTTGCCGTGCCAAGGAGCAGGGAAGGGTTTTCTTCTCAATGTTGCAGGCTGCCGCTCAGGTAGTCATGGCACCTTCTACTCCTACAGGACAAAAAGCACCGAGTCCAAGCCCCTGTGCAGCAGGAGGCACCCTGAGAGCACCCCAGGGCTTTGTGCGGGGAAAAGCCCACTCCGGGGAGCAGCCCCATTTTCTTCTCAAGACTTAAGGCCAAATTCATACGGAGTACAGACAGCTGCACTTTGCTGAATCCAGCTCCAGGGCTGTACATGGGCCTTGGTCTTCCATGACCCTATTGTTCATCTGTCCGCAGTTTGTGGCTGTTCCCATTGTAAATGCCAGAACTTTAAGCCCCAGGAGAACACGGCTTTACAGCAGCAGTTCTCAACTGGGATGCCACGAGACCCTTTACAAGATGCCACGCAATACTAGCACTGTTCGGTGCATAAACACCGGCACGCGATTGCTAAGATAAACCCAGAGATTTCAAGCAGGGGTGCTGCCGAATGCCAAAGTGTTATGGAGGGTGCCTGGGGTCTGACAAGGTTGAGAGCCGCTGCTTTAGAGCATTAGTCTTCATGCCCATGTCATGCTCCCTGGGACCCTTCATGTGATGGGCAGCCTCTTTGCTTCAAGCAGGATTCAGAACTGGGATGAAAGGAAGGCAAGTGCAGGCTAAGGACACGGTGGGCTCTGCCTTGGATGTCTGCAGCAGGTTAATATGCTGTCTGGATTATGCTGGGTGTTTGGCAATAGTGATTTGGGACTAGCTCATCTTCTTGATTTATTGGTAATGAAAATAGCCAGAGGGTTTTGCTGGGAGTTGCTGGTGAGCTGGCCTACTGGCCACACTGTCAGGTGGGGCGTCCGTTCTCCAACTCATGTCATGGGAAACCTTCATGGTAGATGCTTGCAGCAGAGCGAGCAGTGGCCAGCTCTAGGTGATGGCAAGACTCATAAGTCACCCTGCAGTTAACTCTTGCAAAGATGCTGCCCACACGCATTTGCCATGCCATTGCCCAGCTGCTCAGTTTGACCTGCTGTCCCCGCAGGCATGATAAGAAAGGGAGGCCTGGGCATCAGGAAGGGCTTGGGAAAAGCAGCAATGAGGTTGGAGGAAGACCTGATAAGCCTGCACCTTCTGCAGCAACAAAAAAGCTCCACGATCCAGGCTTCTTCCTACCACGCTGCATGAGGGAGCTCCCTGGCAGCTCCCTTCTCTCCTACAAGGCAGGGCTTCAACTATTCAGGGTCTCGGATGCCTCTTGGCATGCCTACTTACTTCAGTGCAGGCTACTCATGTGCATGGGAGTGGGTGGAGGTCTCATTTTAGGATGCTGCCACTTGCTGTGTTGTGCCCCATTGGGAGGGTGGAGAGGAGAGCGTGGCACACACGAGTGCCCTTTCTTGAGCGGTGTTTCTGGTCCCCCCCAAGAGCAGCAGCCAGCTCCAGCAGTGGAGGCTGTAGGACCCAGACCCACGTCGTACTGGGTCAGCGTTAGCTGATTAAGGGACCCTTTTGCGTTCAAGGGCTCCCCCCTACAGACACTCCCCTCTTCCCTGGGGCAGAGCACCGGTTTCCAGAGCTTTGCATGCCTGTTGGGTGCTTCCTCAAAGTTATTAATGCTTTTGTTAGCCTGGCGGTACCGACTGCCGAGTGCTAAATGGCCTGACGAGATGTCTTTATGAATGTTTTAGTACCCATGGAACAAGAAGCCATTTGTATGAGAATGGCACCAGTTTATTATAATAGGGACACCAAGTCGGTAAATGATCTATAAATCTATGGCAGGTCATTCCCCTGCAGCTAGTAACATTAGCGCCTGCATTTTAGTTCCTCACCTAATGAAAGGATCCGCTTCTGTTTGAGTTATGTGACTGGCTTTGTACTTGGGCTCACCTTGCGAGCAAAGTTTGGAGCTCTCCATTGTTCAGCTTTTGGCAGATGCTGGCTGCAGAGAGGAGGTAGCAATAGGAAAGGCAGCCTTTTGCGTCCCAGTCAGCAATCTGAATTGGGCTTAGAGAAACTGGCTGGCAGGCTGCGCCCGATGGGTAGGTGGGCTTAACACAGTCCCAGCTTGATGCACACGTGCCCGCTAACACCTGGCACCATGGCTGTCAGACTCGGCACGAAAGCTGAGAAGCTGTCATCTCCAAAACTAACCCATCCAGGTGTGTTGCTGACCCATTTGACAAAGCACTGGATTTTGGGTGGAGCATCCTGTGAATTCCCAGCATCTCTGCCTGCTGGTTTGGTGGTATCCTCAATCTGTTAATTTACTGACATTAATTATACGTGTCGGTACCCCACAGGCTTTGTTGACTAATGGGAAGTATTACCATTGCCAGCCCCCCTGCTGATGGAGAAATAGAAATTGTATTTCACCATCCACATCTTTAATTGAGCTTCTCCTGGGCAGGCCAGTTAATTATTCCAATTACTTTTAGTTATTTATAAGTAAAATTGCTCAGGCATGAATCCATAGACATCCTCATGTTTGCATGCGAGTCAAGTTTGGGGCTTTGACGCCATCGAGCCCTTAATGGGAAACACATGCTCTTCGTTTTTACCCCCAAAATGGTTATTTAAACCCTTGGCTGCATAAGTCATGCTGCTTGAAGCACCGCTGGGCATCATGCCCCTGAGGTGCTCTGGGATCTGCATGGACATAGGTGTGCACCGAATGCTCTTCCAGCTCGTGCTTGTTTCATAGTGGTGCTAATGCCCGACCCTGCGAGCAGACAAAACAGGGTTAGTGTCCTGTGCGCTTTAGAAAGGAGTGTTGTTTTTTTTTTTCCTTTTTTCTCCCCTTCCCCAAGAGGAATGATGGGCTGGGCTTCGTGAAAGAGGAATACAGCATCCTTAAAATAAAGACGTGCCTTTTTAAATGCAAATGGACAGCAAATGCTTAAACTTGAACCAATTCCTAGTGCCTTGCTGGACAAGAGTGAAGGGGGCTAGGGGGAGGGCAGGCGGGGGGCAGGGAGCTGCAAGAAAGCTTGATGCATTGTGCAATTACCATTCAGGTGTGTGCGTGTGTGTGTTTTTAAATGTCCAGTTTTATGTGCAAACGGGAGGAGGGCAAGAGGCTGCAAGGTGGGGTCAGAAGATGCGGAGGCCCCTGGGTTTCTACATGCACTGGGTGTCTACTAATTGCTTTTCATCACACTCGATGTGAAGGCTGAAGGTGGAAGCCTCTTCTCGGCCCCGAGTAGGAGTTAAACAGATGTTGAATCACAGGATTTCTCGGCTGGCTGCTGTTTGTGTTGATCTCCCTGGCAAAGGCACATGTATTTATCTGTTCAACCTGCATCCAGGATTTTGCAATTTTATACTTGAACTGTTCGGACACGGGGCCTCTAACCGACAGTCCCACAGGTCCGTCCACCGAAGTGAAAGGCTAATGAGATGACTTCTATAAAGTCAGCACCGTGGATCCGTGGGAAGCGTGGGGAAAACATTTAAATGCCGTAATGCAGAAGTAACAAGAAAGCAGTGGACCATGAGCTGAATATGAACCAACAGTGTGCTCTTGTTGGAAAAGGAAAAAAAAAAAGCCAACAGCATCCTGGGTTGTTTCAAAAGGAGCGTGTGTCACTTGCAAATCAGAGGAAATGATTCTTCTGCTCTATTCAGCCCCTGGGAGACCTCCCCTGCAGCCCGGTGTCCAGTTTTGGCTCCCACACTTCGAGAAGGATGTGGACAGAATGGAAATTCTAGCACGGAGCAACAAAAATGACATTTAGGGGCCTGGGAAGTCAGACTTGCAAGGAAAGGCTGAAAGAACTAGGGTCATTTAGTCTGGAAAAGAGAAGACGGTGGCAGGTGGTTTGATAAGTCTCTTTAGTTACCTGCATGGAGATGGGCTTTTCTCTGTGACCAAGGGGACAGGACTAGCAGCAGTGGCCTACTAATATTAAATCTGCAGCAGAGAAAATTTAGGTTAGAAATGAAGACATTTCAGACTCTGAAGGTGGTCAAGTGTTGGACAGACTGGCTAGACATGGTGGCATCTCCATCCTGGGCAGTTCCTTGGGTGGGATGATTTAGTCAGGGATGCTCCTGCCCTGAGCAGGTGGCTGACCTAGGTGAGATGGCAAGGTCCCTTCCAGTCGTACTTTCCTCTGATCCTTCATCGTCTTCCCTCCGCTCTGCAGCCGCTCGCATGTTTTAACACTGGCGTTTAAACTAGATCAGGCAGTTCAGGAAGCTTTGTCCCGTGCTTCTCTGGGAGCTGGCCTATTTAAAACCCTACAAGATGCTTGCGAACCCGGTGCACGGCTGCCTGGCGTAAGCACCATGTCCCCAGAGCAATTGCAGAGCCAAGCGACTGCAGCGGGTTTGCAGGAATTGGCTCGCGTAGGAGCCACGCAGCCATCCTGAAGGATCACTTGGCTGAAGGGGAGCAGGCTTTTCATTTGTCTTTTTATCTGCTGCAATCAGGATGGAAGATGTTTGTGGCTGAGCCATGGGGACAGCTGGGAGCCATCGGCCCGTAACGCTGGGCGAGAAACGAACCCCCAAGCCTGGCAGGGGTTCACCCCTCCGGCTGGCTGTGCTTCTGGCTCATTAGCGCGTGAGGGTCAGGGGTGCACGTTGTGCCGCGTTACTGCCTTTCCCGGCCCCTGCGCTCCCGCAAGCAGACGAGTAATGAAACGCACCCAAACGCTGAAGGCTGAGAGCACCGCACTTGTGAGTTAACAGCCCATGGCAGAGGGAGCATTAAATGCCCAAGGCAGTCGTTACCAAACATAAAAACCAGCAAAGCGCTTTGCTCTTTCCATTCTGAAAGGATCATTTGCCACAAAGAGTCTTCTAATGATTTGTTTTTGCTTTATTTTATACGGATTAATAACGTGGCAAAACAGCGTTGTCAACATACGGGAGAGGCGTATCGGCGACCGCCGGTGTTTCTGCAAAGCTTCAAGCACTTCCAGGGGAGACGGCCTGGCCCAGTGCACCGGGGTTCTGCTCCCAGCTCAGCTACTGGTCGGCTGTTTGAGTTCCCAGTGCCCCCATCTGTAAACGTGGGTAGTATTTACCTCCTCCGGTAAGTGCTCTGCCACGTACCGCTGAAAAGGGGTCGCTCGATTCAATCCAAGTGACAATTGGCGAATGCAGTTCGGAGCGACGTCGGAGGAATGGTGTGGTCCAGACTGGGGAAGCCGAGAGGCGAAGATCCCACAGCACGGGGTTGTCTTCGCTTGCAGGCTCGTTACCCGTTGGCTAAGCTGCCTGCTTGCCTTGCCTGGGTTGCGGCAAACTGACCTGCCCCAGCGTCACGTGCAGCGTCACACATCGCCTCGGAGACCCGTGCGTGCACCATCGTAAAACCAGAGTCGAGTAGCTTTGTTTGGGTGTTTTGGGCTCGCTGACCCGGCTCTTCCTCTCTTCACATTGTGTCCTCAACTTTCCCGATGCTTCTGTGTTGCCCAGGAGGCTGCAGTGATTCCAGCAGTTGCATGGGGTTTCGCTCTTCGCCACGGAGGAACCACAGGGTCTTAAAACCACTCGTTCGGCATGAAGAGGAAAGCGCTTATCCCAGCTAGCAAGCAGATGAATGTGAATGTGGCTCAAGAAATGATATACAAACTAATCAAGCTAATAGATTAAAACATTAGCCCTTAGGGTAATAACAAATAGCCTTAACTTTTAGGATGTCAGTTTAAAATGCAGCCTCCGGGGCCTCGGTGGTACGATCTGAGTTCATTCACTCCTTGTACTGCATGCATTTTAACTTATTGACTTTCAAACTGGACGGTGCCTCTTAAAGCAGTGTATATTTATTTCTGTGCGTATTAGGACCAAGCTCCTAATAGCCGGGGAGGGCAAACGATGTCTAGCACTTTAATGTAGTCGCTTTCCTACATCGGGGATCATTCGGATAGAATGCATAGTGTTTTTAAAAGTTGAATGGACTTCCTTTTATAATATATTTAAAATAAATTTTTAATGTGTTTTCTGACACTCGGTGTCTGCAGAAGTGACTCGCTCTTGCTGTGGCAATTGCTTGCTCCCCCTTCTCCCCACCTGCTTCTCACGGAGCAGATGCCCTGGTCGGGGCATGCCAAGAGCACAGTTTTGCTGCCCCCCTCATGCTTGGATCATTGGGCAGCCTTGTCTCGCCCTCCTGGGAAATGTCTTTCCCAGCTACGCTCCTGGGAACACCGGAGCCATCAGACACGAGGGATTTGGGCACTGCCCAGCTGTAGGGTCACTCCACCTAGAAAAAGCCCAGGTGGCTTCTCTGTCTCTGTCTGCAAACTGCTGTAATCAAGACTTAAGAAGGGGTGTTAAACATGGGGCCTTCCTGCCAGATATGGGAGGGTGGCACTCGGTGGGATGGGCTTTCTATTTCCTTTTCCGCTCTGCAGGGTGCAACCCAGCAGTTCACCTGGGCACCCCCATCCGTGGGAGCGTGATGGGGCCGTGGCGGCCTGGGTACCCCCATCCGTGGGAGCGTGATGGGCCGTGGCGGCCTGGGTACCCCCATCCGTGGGAGCGTGATGGGCCCGTGGCGGTGTGACACCTGCCAGGAGGTGGGAAGCTTTCTTCAGGAGCTTCCGATTTTAAAGCTGTGCTCAACAGCTTTGAAACATTTGTTCTGTTTGCCCATAGGTATGTAGCTATGGGGGAAAGGGCTAAAGCACAGAAGCCCATATGCATTTGACTTCCCATAGCTCGTATCCTTTTCCTGCAAGGTTAGGACGGCTCTGCTCACACCAGACTGCCCACTTGCATTCTCCTTACTGTTTTCCCTTCCCCGCAGTGATGGTGCCCAGTCCTGTCTGGCCCTGGTTCTTGCATGGTACAGCATCCTTTCCAAAAAAGAGCCTGCTGCCCTAGCAGGGACCGCTGGGTTTGATGTAACCACGCTCTGTCCTTGCGAACACCCTGGGGATTTGCTCGTCTGGACCACCCCTCTTTTTGCTTTAGTTGTGTGCCCAGATTAGAAGGCGTGCGATGCATGTACAGCCATGCTGCAGATGCTCTGCAGCCAAGAGTTGTTCCCAGCTGGAGAGGCGGGTGAAGTCTGGGTGAAGACAAAGATGCTGCCCAATGCAAATAAAGGCCCCACGTCCGTGGTGAGCTCTCCAGCTGCGTCCACGCTGGCAGTTGCACAGGTAGGTGGAAAAATCAGCATGTAGGACTTGTCAAAGGCCTGTTATAGGATCTAAGCAGTGACCCAGCCCTGGCTTCAGAAGCGTGTCAGAAATGTATTGGTGTAATTTGCTCGCCGCTCACCTGCGCTGTGCTGAGGGAGACTATTCTGCCGCACCGTGGTTTTTGATGCACTTAATGTGCTTGCACACAACTGCATGGCCAGATGTGTTGTCCTTTCCAGGCCTGGTAGACCTGGTCTGGAAAAAGAAAACCTGAGATCTGCAGGAGGCTGGAGGTGCAAGACAAAGCCCAGGTCTTGCTCTCACTCCTCCCTACACAAAGCCTGAATTGAACACACTCTTTTAATGGAAAAAGGGGAGATCCTGTGAGTGGAGCGAGGAGAAATTCCCGTTTGCAGTAAGCTGAGTGTCAGCTGACTAGAAAGCCCCACTGGCAAGCACCTCGGAGAAGAGCAGGGTGGATATCCCAAGGATTTTGCATGAATGCATCAAAACAGCAAGTACCCTGGGGAGGAGCGGGCAGCGTGTTGATCCTTTCGGTCAATCCTCCATTTGAACGGCAAGTGCCGCGGTTTGATTTCGAGGTCCGAGCAGCGCTCATCCTAACCAAATTAGGGAGACTGGGATGGGCAGACCATTATTACAGCTCCAGCGATATTAAGCTGCCTCGGTTCCAATGGGTTTATGAAACGTTGTTTTTCACCCCCTTGCTGTTTGCACAAAGAATTACTCGATCTGGCTGGCAGTATGAACCCAATAAAGAATGTCTCCACGAAGCAGTTTATTTTACGAGCAGCTAGTTTTAGTCGAGCAGAGTGACAAATCTCAAAAGCTCATGAAGATAAATGCACCAGAGGATACTGTAATTGTACCAGACCTCCCTGCTTTTCTTTCTTTCTTTCCCCAGATAGATTTTTCAATCTAGCTATCGTTGTGTGTGCAGTTCCTGCAGGTATTTAACATTCAATTTAGCAACAGCACTTTGTTCCCCTTTGGGAACCGCATTGGAACAAACATCTATTATTTCAGCTGCACCAAGGGGGGGAGACCCTCCCCTCTTTGTAGCCGTCCATCTGAGGCGGTGCCAAAAACACCCATTTGCAACCTCCATTTGTAAGAAGTTGGCATGCCAGGGGTGGGCGGTGGGACCTGATCCTTGTTGTGGCAGCGCAGCTCCGGCCCTTTCCCCATGGTGTGCGTGCCAAGCAAAATGCCTTTGTGTGCCATCCTCTGGCACTTGTGCTGGGTGTTGCCTGATCTAGGGTGATGGTGGATACAGCCTGGGAGCACAAAAATGCTCCAGAGATGAAAGCAGTCTTCAGCAGTCACACTGAATCCACAGCTTGATTAAATGCAGGGTTTAAATAGAGAGTGGGGATTTTGGGGGAGTGAATATGCTTATAGAAATGTCTTGCTCGCAGCCCA